GTAGTCTCAAAACTGAATTGGACCAAGAAATCTATGGCTAAGCTAAAATATTCTTAGTAGAAACCATAAACATTAGAAGTTCCAGCAGAATATACTCACAATGAAGAGTAGTGCTCAAATTCATGCTTTTTCATGCTCATTTTCCTGTCACCTATCCAACTTATTATTCCCTGTGCAATAGAAAGCACTTGGTCTTGGTTACAAGTTAATAAGATTATGAAACTCATCTTTGCAAAATTTGTACCTGAATCATGTCATATAATGGTTGGTATGTCATTGCTCCGCCATCAGCCATGCATAAGTGTTCAAGTTCCGTTTGCAATGCTAGGTATAACAGAGATAGACATTCAGATTCGAACCAAGTAAAAATATTTAACTTTCAGATTCTATGTGGCTATTATATAATATTTGCACAGACTGGCTTACCAAAAAGCACGTCCTCTTCAACTTCTATACTCCCTGCATCACGTGCAACATCCTCTATGTTGCTAGTAATGATAAATTAAAAAAGAATTAGGTGCCCGCAGGGCTGCATCCCATAAATTGTAGATCACTAAATTCAAAGGGGTGTGTGTATGTGTGTGTGTGTGTGTGTGTGTGTGTCTAGAATTTTGAGTTCAAAGCAGATGTTCTGAAAACATCTACTGCAAATACTATCTATGATTAGTACAAAATGCAAGATACAAATTGTTACAAACAAAGTAACCAAAGGGCATACTGGGCCTCATCCAGAATCACAATGGATCCTTTTATATCTATATCCATTGCTCTCCGGACTGTTGGATTTATAATGTAACTGTATGGGCAGAAAACTAGCTGAGCTTCCTCAGCCATTGTTTGTGCAGCAAAATATGAACAACCTACAAGAAAAACAAAAGTAGAAAAAACATACTTAGTTTAGTAGTACTGCATTGAAGACTGTTATAGTTAAAGGTAACAGACCTTTCACACTGTGCCCAACTTTTACAAGATCTTCAATGTCATGAACCTCATAACAGCCACCTTTCTGAAGAGAGGGATGACATTTGACTTTGTGTGCATTTCTGTCATAGTTAAAAACAGTTGCCTTCATAAGAATGAGAACTAAAGTATACGATGAACTCATATGTATCAAAGAGAAACTCACTTGTATTCACTGCAACCTAGGTTTTCATCCTTCAGAAGCAATTTACTAAAGCAAAACAGGAGGACATTAAAAACATAAAACAGCAAAGATGATGTAAAAGTCAGAAAGGTAAGTTCTTTGGGGCATCAAGAAGGCTACCATTCATCATCCAGATTATCTCTTGTGCACACATGCTTGTTAGTGCAGTAGTGCTTTCGTGATGCCTGAAACCAACAGCTCGAAGAAAATGGAAATTCAGAAAAGAAGAAATTTTGGAAAGTTTAATTTAGAATGGCAATTGTAGTGTTAATCCTAGAAATTGAACCATCAGCATTGTTGCATTATGGGCTAGTAGTACAACAAAAACACCTTTATCATAATTTAGAAACAAGATTCGCTTACCAGAATTGCCATTGGCACCCGATAGGATGTTTTCCTATATTCACGAACCACCTGACTTATCTGGGAGTGAGTCCTCCTTCACATGTCCGAAGCAAACAGCAATCAGGAAACAGCACAAAGGCTCAAATCGTAGCGTTAACGAGAGATAGCACTCACGAAGCATAGTAGATTTTGGGAAGCGACTGTCTCCTCTGAGCTCTAGCGCTTGTAGGCGCCGGAGGTTCCTCAGCGTCACCTAAGGTTCGTCAGAAAAGGATAAGTCCAAACCTTCGTGTCCCGATCAGGGACCAAAAGAACGGAATTAGAAGGAATGACAGCACAAGAATAGACATTGCTTACTCGAAGGCTGGGACGGGGGAATAAATCCGCCACCATGGACGAGGGGATCGGACGCGAGCGGCGGGGGACACGGGGGCGGAGCAGCGGCCCCAGATAGGACGAGGTGCTGGTGGTGGCGCTGCCAGGCGAGGGAGGAGCAGAGGAGGGAGAGGGACTTGCCGGTGCCGGTGGGGGACTCGAGGAGAGCGTGGCATCGGCCCTGCCGGCGGGCGCGATCGAGGGTGGAGATGACGCGCCCCATGAAGGCGAGCTGGGAGCCGTAGGGCTTGAAGGGGAACTCCACGGGGACGCCGCCGATCTGGTAGACGCCGGGGCCGCCGTGCTTGCTAGGGTTAGGGCTTCGAAGTGGCGTCGAGGGATTCATCGCCCGATTCTTTCGAGATCAGCTCTGCTGTTGTGCGGAAGAGCGGAACAGATCCCGTCGAGAGCGATCCGCTGTGACAAGCAAGGAATGTGGCTTCCAAATGAAGGAAGACGAAGCGAGAAGAACAATTGGTTCCCTCCTGAATTTGCCGCCAGTTTGAAGACCAGACGTTCTCCGTTTTGCTTTTATTATTTGAAGTAATAAAATGGCGGTCTTTTGACGTATCGATCCTTCTCCAAAAAGAATCACTTGTTATTTTGACCAATGCAACGGAGAAGCTTCAAGTTTTTGGTGATTAAACAAATATGATATTATAGATGACTGATTACCACTTCATCCCAAAATCTAAACTCAATCAATTTGGGTTTTACTCAAATCCATGAGATTTCTATATTTAAGAATTTTAGATACTTATTTAAGATTTCTCCCACCATTATTCAAAGCAGACAAAAAGATTTCCAGCAAACCATCGAATAACTCGTTAAACCTTGTCAACTTTGAACAAACAGCCGATGCTCGATATCTTCAGCGATCAAATGGGCCCAACAGAATTGCACAAAGCTTCAGTAACATGTTCAGAGCACAACGAGCTAGTTGAGAATGTAAACTACTTTATTAGATTTCGGTGTATGATCAACTCAACGGATACATCTTCATCTGTAGTTACAAATGAATGTTCTCCCGGACAACAGCATAATGAATTCCCTCGGCTACATCTTCGCCAGCAGTTACAAATGAATGGTTCATGCGTACAACACCATATGGGTTTCCCACGGCTTCAAGATCATTTATCGACATCTGGTATTTGTTAACTATGCACAGAAGAAAAACATTAATTCTGATACATCATCCATTGTGAAACCTTTTGGCGGAGTCTAGAAGCAATTGTGCTCGTCTGAAGCTCGGACGTCGGTGGACTCTGAGTCCGTGCCATGTCTCGCTCGAGCCCCCTTGATCAACTTTGAGCTTTGCTAGCTGCTCGTGGAGTGATGCCATATTCAGAAGAGGGACAGTGGTCGGCCGTCCATGAGCACACTAAACATGAAAGCTTACTACATCAGGATACAAGGAAGGCAGACAATGTGACATCTAGATAACTTGTATAGGAAAAAAGGCCTAACCATGAGCTGCATCCTACATCAACTAATGAAAAGGTCTCATGTGAGAGAAATCAGTTGCTTACCTGAAAACAAAGTGATGTCGCTTTCAGTTCTTCGACGATCAGAGAACATTCCGAAGGTAACAAGGAATCACCGAACATAATCGCACCTTCATTTTCAAAAAAGTAGAAAAATTGCAGTCAACATACAGGCTACTTGGACCAAGACCAATGCAAATATTTTTTTGGGTACAATCACATTCTGATGTCCCAAATCAAAGTTGAGACAGATAGAACATTCATACCTCTGCAGGCTTTGAAGTTAAGAATACGAAGAACAGAAGGCGGAAGAGTGGACGATCCATCAGTCTCAACAAGCTGGCAATTACAATAATAAATCAGAGAACAAAGGAACTCCATTTGATATTGATGTCACAACCACCACCATAATGTCTCAATAATTTGAGATCAATTGCATGGATCTTTTCCTTTCTACTCAAGATAATATCTTTAGTTAACAAAAAACATTCACATCTCTTTTTACTGTTTATAGTAAAGTTGTCTTATATCTCGGTCTACCTTTCACACCACTAATACTAGTCGGCTTCCCCCGCATAACCACAAATCTACATGTCTCCTTTGAGCATGTCCCTATCATCTTCAGACAATAATACCTCATTTTATTATCCATCAGAACTTAATTGTCCTGCATATACATATGAACATTTTTCATCTTAACCGCACAAACTTTATGTATATATTTTTACCATTCAACATTCAAATGCATAAAGTATGACTGAACTAACAATTATTTCATATTACTTTTCTTTTATCTAACAAGCATTCGATGATCACACAAAATACCCAACACCCCCTCTTAACTTTGACAACCCAATTTTTATTCTGTGAATAATATTTTCATCAATCTCTGCCTATTTATTTCGCATCTTATTCTATCTTCAGCATTTCCAAAGTTCCATAGTAGGACACATTAGTTCAATTCCTTTATATTTAGACCAACTTCAAATATCTTATTCCTATAAATTGATATTAGAAAACTCTTTCTTTGTTCATTATACATCAAGTATCTTTTGATATCCATCTTTTATACACTTAATGTTACCTAAAGTTTTTATTTTTTCCTAGCTTTAGCAATCCAAAAAGATATTTCTCTTCATCCTTAACACAGATGACCATAAAAACTAACAAAATCCATATTGTACTATGAATTAGCATGAACTAATGGTGAAAATAGGGTGACAATGTTATATTTTGTAGCAGCAAATTCTCAAGCATAACTCTTGGTGCTCCAACATAATAATCCAGATAATAAAGTGTAAGTCAACCTAATTCTCCACCCACCTCTTAATAATCTGAATCCTATGTAATATATTTGTTTGAACACTTAAAGGGTTTCAAAACTTCTTTTAAAATAGATATCTGGTTTCAAATCTTCTTATACAATAGATATCCAGAATACATTGATAACAAATCAGCAGGAATGAACAGAAAAAATTGTCACAACAATGAGTGGTGTTTATGCTTCTATAGACCTGATGATCACTGTGTTAGGCAGCAAAACCAACCTACTTCAGCATGTTCAACCAGAAGCACATCGTCACTTGAGCCAAATAATGCCATACTCCCATGGGAAATGTTTATTTGACCACCAAAACGGCATCAAATGTTTTAAAAATTATTCTGCCTCTTGGTATTCTGTTAACATTTAATGTTTTTTGATGTTGTATAAGTATTGTCAAACAAAAATGAGAAAGTAATAAGGCGAATCTCCATTCTAAGTTTCAGTATATCTGAGAGCTAGTAATTCAGGAAAGCTGTGCATTTCCTATGTTGAGTAAATTTAACCAACACCATGGAGGTCATAACCAAGGTCTGAAATTTCGTACCGTACCAAAGTTTCGACGATCGTTCGGTACGGTACAAAACGGTATACCGAGCGGTATACCGTTCGATATACCGCTCGGTATATATATATATTATATAATATATATAACTCGACGACGTCGCTTCGGCGACATTGCCTCTCTCTTCTCCCAAGAGGGGCGACGTCGCCTCGTTTATATTTATATAAAAATTAATATATATATATATATATATATATATATATATAAGGTTATATATATATATTTATATATTTTTTTTTTATTTAAAAGGCGACGTCGTCTTTTCCTTCCCCACGCGAGGCGACATCGCCTCGTTTATTTAAATAAATATATATATATATATATAATCCGAAAAAGGCGACGTCGTCGAACGTCACCTTTTTCTAATATATATAAATATATATTATTTTATTATTATTTTTCATTCCACCCAGTAGTAGGCGGTCCGTGCATCGGTATGCCGTCGGACCGGTACACACCGCCCGTACCGGGCAATATCATTCGATATTGCCTTCCTTGGACATAACAAAGTTTTACAAATGGTAAAGTTGCTAGTGATACTTATATAGTCAATTCTAGCAAAGCCCTTTCACATGAAAAGCATGAAAAAAATTCATATCTCAAACTCAATAGTCAGATTGTCGATTGAATTGCTGATCTCTGGATAAAACTATCCCAAAATGTAGATCCCAGGTATATACACACACACACACACACACACACACACACACACACACACACACACACATATACACATACATACATACATAAGTTGAAGCAATTGACAACTTCTTCCCTAAAGATAAATATATATGCAGTAGTCAAACTAAATTTCTATTCAAATGAATGATAAAAATATGTTCTGCTATAATTTGCTAGGTCTTGCTATAAGTTTATAAAACAATAACCAGTAAATTTCTTCAATCCCTACAAGAATAGAACCATTTTTGCCTCTAATACAATCTACTTTAAGCTTTACTAGCACTATATGCCAAGAAGTCATATAAAATATTAAATAACAACTTTACTTCTTGAATGAGAATGTGAATAATTATAAACAACAAATATTAGTAGTACCTGCTGAATAAATTCAAGTAGATCTTTGTCATTTAAATTGATACCTAAAATACAAGGAACCTGCATGACAATTTTGAGAATACGGAATACTATTTTAGGAAAGTATAAACAAAACTAAAGAAGCTGACATTCTGCAATAGAATAGAAGAAGCAATATATGGTTTGCAAAATAATAATTCCACAATAGAGACTGTAAATTAATCAATGCCAAGTATAGTGCAATCCCATAACTAAATTGACATTGGAAAGCTCAATAAAAACAACCACATTTATGACAAACATGATTAATAGAAAAAAATATCTAGAGAAACTAATTAGTTGGTTGTTGTCTACATTGAATGTGCCTATATGTATAGAATCCTATCAGTGAAAATGAACAACTATCTCAACTTTAAGTTCTGACTTCTTAGCTAATTGAGAACTACTCTTTTTAACATTTAATATATACATATATACATATATATATATATATATATATATATATATATATATATATATATATATATATATATATATACACCAAGGTTCATTGTACCGTACCGTACCGGCGTTTCGACCCGGGCTCGGTATGGTACGGTACCGGTGTACCGGGTGGTACATCAGGATGTACCGAGCGGTACACCTTGGTGTACCGAGCGGTACACCTTGGTGTACCGAACAATTTTTTTACTTTTTCATACTGTAGCAGTGCTACAGTATAGTACTGTAGCACTGTAGAGGTACCAGGCAGTCCGCGTACCGGTAACCTGTCGAACCGGTACGGGCGGTACGCTTCGGTATGGCAGACCTTGATATACACAATTATTTTAATTTCAAATGATACCACCCGTACTACGCGGTACGTACCGATCCCCCAGCATATCGATACGCAGACCGCCTACTATCGAGCGGTACCGTCGATTAGGGTTGTTTCCGCCCCGTTACCACCCGAAATCGATCGGTAACGGTCAATTTCGACCATCGCGGCCCACTACCAAGTTGTATTAGCCGAGGGAGAAGGAAGAAGAGGGAGAAGAAAAGGGAGAACCTAAAGATCCGGCGCCGCTCTCCCTTGCCGATCCCGATCCGTCGTCGCCCTCCCTTGCCGAACGCCGCAGATGAGATGTTGCTTCCTCCTTGTCTAAGGCAATGAGGCCTCGGCGTCGTCGACAACTTCTCTCCTCATCCGCACAGGGAGAAGAAGCCTCGGCGACCTCGTCGAGGCTTCACAGGGAGAACGTTTGGTTTCTTCTCCTTGCATGGGGAGAAAAAATGAGGCAACATCACCTCGACAACGTTGCCCTTTTTTATTATTTTTTAACATATATATATATATATATATATACACCGATTCTTCTCATCAGTTTCTTCTCCCCGCACAAGGCGACGTCGCCTCGACAATGTCGCCTTTATTATTATTATTATTATTATTATTATTATTATTATTATTATTATTATTATTATTATTCTTCTTCTTCTTCTTCTTCTTCTTCTTGTTCTTCTTCGATGTACCGATCGGTATGCTCGTACTATACCGTACCGAGCTGAGATCTAAACTCCGGTACAGTACGAAATTATAATTCTTGTATATATATATATGTGTGTGTGTGTGTGTGTGTATATATATATATATATATATATATATAGAGAGAGAGAGAGAGAGAGAGAGAGAGAACCCTATATCATAACAAAGATCAGAGAATCACTTAATCTAAGCAAGTCAGCTCCCTAAACTGAAAAAAAATAGACAGACATAATATTCCTTCCAAAGACTCACCTTAACAAAATCTTTCCAAAAACTAAAGAACTTTCTTTCAGTCTATCATATTTCATTCATTACATATATGGAATAACTCATGGGACACCACACATTTGAAGATACAAGAGCAAACATGTCAGTCATGAAGTAAATGAGCTTTATGTTTAAAGTAAAACAACACCTTAATAGTCTCAAAATCTGATCCATGATAAAAGATAAATAAGCCATACACCAGAAGCTGGAACCTGTTGCTCATGTTGATTGGCTCGTATTAAAGCTCACCAAGATATATTGCATTAAGTTAGCATGAATTACTGATCTCAAAGTAAATTTCTTATTTATTTTATGTGTCATTACACATAAAACTTTGACTGCAAATATACAGGCAGCAGAAAGGATTTAGACAAATCCACGGAAAATTTATAACAGTACTCAATTACATGTAGGTTATTTTCAGATAGAAATTTGGAAGCATTCACAGACATGCATAAGACAGAGGAAGGCTACTCACAGCAACAAGAATAACACCAGACGAATGCCTTCTAAGAAGGTTCAAGTTCCTGAAAGAACAATACATAATAAAAAAAAAATCAACTAACCATAATGAAGTATTGCAACAAACTCACACAATTCAACCTGTTAGTAAATTGAGGGAAATATCCTAGGAGGTAGAACTATGTACATTTCCTGAATGATCCCTAAACTATAGAGCCAAATTCACCTAGAATCCTAAGCTTCAATATGTGTGTCATCCTCAACCTATCTAAGTTGTCAAAATCAAGCCTTGTTGTCATTGTTCATCAAGAATATTTGATGATCAGATATCAGGTTGGGGTGAATTCTTACATGGCCGAAAATCCATCACATAAAACATGTAATGATAAATCATTCAGCCCAAATTGATTGTACCTATAAGACAGCATTTCTGTCATCATGTTTATATAATGGCTGCATGATTGGACATTTTGACCAATTAGTATCACACGAACCAGACAGAAAAAGAGAGGATGAGTTGAAGGAGACAGCAATGCATGAGGAAATGGTAGTGACACAATGGAGGAAGAGGAGGGGAAAGAGAGCTTGATAGAAATAGAGAAACAAAGAGAAGAAAAGAAAAGAAAGGCAACAGATAATTGTCAAAAGTTTAAACAAAAAAAACCAGCATTGACATTGATGGTGGTAGGTTTACCACTCAGTTCAGCTTGATACCAGTTTGCTTACCACCTGATGAGCCCAATACTGAGCTTACCATGTAGTGAGTTTGGTTTCAACCAGTAAATCATGTTCTATGCTTCATCTGGACAGGTGCGTACTAGTCCAATGGCCTGTCAGATCAATGGCATGGACAGCAGCATATGCCTCTCAACATTATCTATACTAAGCTCTTAAAGAAAAGGGTAAGCCAGCATGTAACAGACTTATACCGATCTGGTCGGGGACTGACACGGATCTAGTACCCAAAATGTCAAACTTTGCAATAAATATTGGTCCATATTCTGAGGAACTTTTTCTAAAAATTGTTTTTCTTTTATTTGCTCATTTTACAATGAACCTATAATTGTAAACATCTTGTTTGATATTGTTTTTTGTTTAGCATTATAAAAAATGTTGTTCTAACCTACATCTCTTATTATATGTTCCTGCAATTTTCTTTGAACTTTTGGATATTATGATGTTTAAATAACTTGATTTTTGATGATCAGATACATTTTTGATGAATAAGTTAGTGATATGCACCGAAAATTATTTTTATGGCAGTAACTACATACTTTAACTAAATGTCAAAGCTTGTCACACAAGGTATTACATATTTCAAAAAATCTTGTAACATCAATATTTAACAATATAGACATATCTATGCCATGTAATATGTGTATCCTACATTTGTGACAATGCTTCGTAGGCGAAAACATTACCAAGATTTCATGAGAACAAGCAAAAGAGATTTGAGAATGAACTAATCCTATGAAGTTTATAAAAGTTAAATGATCATATAAAATAAGAGCGTTTGAATTTTAGCTTATTCAGGAATGTAAATTTTTATTCTCCGTCAAGCAAAGATCCATCCCTTCAAGTTCCAGAAGAAAACATTTTCTATTTTCATTTTATGCACTAACACAAGGAAATAACTGTAGATAATGGATTCCTACTTGTTAAATAAATTTTGGGATGCACTACGAATGTTGAAGATCCAGCCCCAATTCTGAATCTTCTCCGAATACTTTTGTAACAGCTGAAATCCCATTTCAGGAAGAACCTGTCATTAACAGACAAAGAAAGTAATCGGTTTACCAGAGACTTTAATAAGAGAGAGCCTCACAAAATAAAGCAAAAGGAGTATCAACAAGACTAAAAAAATGCTGACTTACCAACTCCTGCTCTGATTCCAGATAAGTAACTCTTCTGCCTTCACCAGACACAACCTGTGATTGTGATTCATCCATCAATCCAAGATCACGAATCACAGCATCTACCTTCTTTTTGACCTTTTTCTTTAAATATTTAGAGCTTTATCCTAATATGGTATTTAATATGTACCTGCTGGCGCAGTTCTTCCACACGAATTCGTTCATCTGCTGCATGCTGAAAAACATGGTATAATAATTAGGTAAATGCATGCAAAATTAACCAACATATGACTTCACACCAAATAAAGAGCCTCTGGACATTTAAATTCATTGACATGAATCTGGCACATAAGACTCGGTAATCACTACATAGAAAATCAGGTTCAACAGCTCCTAAATCACATTAGATGCTTGCCCCATGCATTTTGGCAGCTCCTATATTATATTAGATGCTTCATTCAAGTTGCATGATATTTCATATGTGATGATTAAATCAACAAATTTTCTGACAGACCACCTGTAATCCATCCTGCACAAGCCTATAAATTCCAAATTGGATAACAGTTCTCTGATGTCAGCAAGCTGCTGATACAAACCATCTGAATCAGTGGAGTTCAAACACACACATGCATAAAGTCTGTGATAGGCCAGTTTGTGGTAGTTCAGAAAGTAATATATTGCTTTGATATATATGAGACTAGGTATGTTTAAGGCATTTGGATGACGTAGATTAAGGCATGATCTATCCAACTTACTGGGGTAGTAGGGGCGTTGGGATAATCCATGGTAGTTTTATATCAGAGTACATGTAGGAAATGCAAATATGTAGATCAATAGGTCTGCTAAAAATGGACCATCTGAGTGCTTTACAAGTGGCATATTACAGCATGAAGCCATTGCCATAGTGTTGTGTATCTCATGCCAACTACTAGGATTTTATAGCTTATTAACAAGTCAGCATCGAGCCTAAGTGAGGAAGATTATAACACCCAGGTTACTGCCTCCAAGGATTCAAGTGCTAATTAAACTCAGGATGTTAGTTGATTATCAAAACAATGCATTCCTTGTCCTGCTGGCATATCACAGACATAGCTTTGCAAGCCAAACTGTATGGTTTTCCTTTATTAACCTGAACAAAAAAACCAACTGAAGAATGGAACAAAGCAAAGGTTGCAATGCCACCTGGTACAGTATGGTGCAGACGGTATTTACCGGTCCGACAACTTACCGGTATGTAGACCAAGGTGAACTGGGTGGTACACCTGGTACAAGGCCCATAACATCTGGTACAGTGCTTGTACCACTCAGTATAACTAATATAGGGCATATCATCTGGTACAAGGCTTATACCACCTGATACAGATGGTATATGTCCTGTAACGGGCAGTTCTTTTTCTTGTTTTTTTTTGGTATTTTTACAGTCTTGTTTTGAAAGTCAGTACATACCAGTGTATCGACACTTGGGATACCATACCAGTCCGAACCTTATCTGGTACAGTAATACACAAATTGCGAACCTTGGAACAAAGTAGAAGAACTTTGACTGTTCCCAAGTTCACATACAAAAGGTACATGTGGCAACAAAAGATTCGCAAAAACTACATAACAACACAAAAAAGAGAGAGAATACAAATGGCAAACTTTTACAGAAACTCAAGCAATTTTCTAGTCATCTGTTCACATCTTCCGATCTCTGAGCACCTGTCTACCAAGACAACCATCTCCTCCTTTCTCTTTTTCCTCTCTCATGTTGTGCAAACCCTAGATGTAGCCCTGTGTGATTTTTCTCACCCTCAAAGAATACCGATAGATCAAAAATAAAGGACTGAATCAGTCCTTTGATAAAGGATAAGTTCAGTCCTTCATCCTAAATGACCAGTATGGTCCTGAAGCAAGCCACTCCTGTTAGAGACGGGCCTGAGATAAATCCACAATGATTGGCCCACTATGAGCCTGCACCTATTACGGACCTAAATAGGGGCTAGGCAGGGCACCATTCATCTTTCATCCCACTCCTCTAATAAAACAAGATGTTTCAAGCAAGAATTAGGATTTCACACAAAACATAAATTAGATTAACTAAAAGACTAGATGGATCAAGCACTTAAGAATTTTCGATCATGTGGCTTAATGTCCATTGTATCCAACTATCCAAGTTGTTCTATAAAATTGAATTGTTATAATATCAGAGGGGACCTAAACCCACGAATATATGGATTAGTCGATCCGATAGCAAGAGATACCTATGAATGATGAAAGAGATATGTCGTGACATGAACGACAAATACTGATCCCTTATTTTTCAAGCAAGTTCAGGTGTTTGTCACATTTCGTTCAACATTTGCCCAACCCATGTACTCCTGCTGATCTATGAGAATCTTTATAATAGCATATTGTAGACAAGCACAAAAATACAAGAAAAACGAAAAAAATCAAACAGCTTTATGCTGCTGAATGGCTCAACAAAGAAGATTGATGCAAATATGCTTTCAAATAAAATCTAGATTAGAGCTAAATATCCTTGTCACTAAACTAATGTGTGCCCATCCCAAAGTTTAAAAGCTTAGCATTGGTACTTGCACCAAACCTGGCTTGGACATCTATATATCCATCAGCATGGTGCTGGAATTCCTCAAATCAATCAAAACAAAATATTAAAACATTAAAACAGTGGACCTTGGTTTAAACTTTAAACTGGGCCTATGACATATCAGAGTATCAGATAACCCATCCCAGTAGTACCTGACATACTACTCAATATGCAGTCATATCTAGACCAGCAAAAGCATCCATGTTATGTCTATTGTTGCAGGTTAGAGTAAGTTCACATGAAAAGCTTTAGCATTCAACAGCAACACAATCAAAATGCATACAACAATTAAGCCAGCAAGAGAATGAGCATAGAGGAAGTGACTAGTGAGAAAAAAAGATGATAAAAGCACACCACAAGTGATGTTCAGACTTCAGAAAAAACACACAGCAATTGGATGCTTTAACAAAGATGCTTTTTTAAAAGCAATACTTTTGTGTTTTGAATTAGAATAAAATTTTAAATTACAGATCAATAGCATCATGTAATTAGGAATATTCTCAACCTTAAATCTGCCAACAATGGTACGTCAGTAGACTCTTAACATTTTAAATAATCAAGACAACTATCATCATGGAAATTGTTAACAGAATGTGCACAAGAAAATAACAAGTTCCTTGACCATAGATTAAGAGAAGGTGTGAAATGAATACCTGATCAATGATCATCAGTCTTCCATTTGCCATCACTGGAATAAATTTCTTGTCCACCTGATAGAGAACCCTGGCATTGTGAAGGCAGTCCTTATTGATTAATTCAGGCACTAATGAGTCACCAGAGATATGTAAAAGCCCAGAAGATATATCAAGTATATCATTGGTCTGTTCCACAGGCTTGTGTAAAATGTCTTCATCCTATGAAAATAAGCAAAAGAAAGGTCATTCCTCACAGATATGCAGTGTAATCATTCCTCACAAACTGAGAATTGACATAGTAGAGATTCTCAACTTTAGTCTGCGGAATACCAAAGCGCCACTTGGCAAGTCCAGATGCTGAATATTCTGGAACATCATCAATTACATCAGCTTGGCCATAGTGTCTTTTGTCAAAGGTACTTGGTTTTTCATTACTCGGTTCTCTAGTTAAAAGAACAAAATTGTTTAAAATCAATAACAACCACTAAGTGCCAAACAATGAAACGGGCAACAAGGAAGCTACATCATATATGGCTGGAAATCCTCAGAAGGGACAGGCTGCGAACATGGCTGAGATGCATTAGGTTGTAGCATGTTATCGAATAAACACACAGCCTCTGCAAGACATAGAAAAAGGATATTAGAGATGACTGAACAAGAACAGAATCTCTATAATACACGAATGCAAGCAGTATCAAAAGACCAAATTATAGACAGGAGTCACAACTCACAGGACAATATGTAAAACAGCCAACAGACCTGATAAGTCTTTGGAGACTGCAGAACTAGAATTCTTTGCAGCTACAGAAGTCAGACAACCACACAACACAGAGAATTTGGACTTTCCTTTGTAAAATGGAGGAGCTGACTGACTTCTTGACCTTTCCTTGTAGATTAAAGGCAATTGTTGACTTTGAAATTCCTTCTCGTTCCATAGGCTTCCAACCACCACATTATCCTTTTCTATAGTGAGCAATTTGGGGTTGAAAATTTTCTCAGTAACACTGATATCCAAAATGTCTGAAGGAAACAAGCTTATTTGATCATTAATCTTACTAGATGCGCAAACATTTTCAAAGGCCACCTCATCTGAAGGGTCACTAATGTCCGTATTACTTATGGGATGTAAAGAGCAATTATCATCCAAGTTGTTCGCTGGATATATCATGCTGGGAGGTTCCCAAGTGGACCAGTGTTGAGTAGGGCTAAGATATTCATCCTTAACTTTTGTTATTCCAAGAGGCCAAGTTCCATCACCTTCTACAGACATCAATTTTTCTTCTGAGATACTCCTATTTGCAGGATCAAAAATAGTTCTAAGAGATCTAGCGTGCCATGCGCATGGGTAAGGAGATCCACATCTGGAGCTAGCTTCCCAATCTTGTAGGCAACTATCAAGCCTTTTGTCTTTACTTGAACAACCTTGATCAAGAGAACAAGGATCAACCAAATCAATTGATGATACATCTAAATGCTTAGTTGTCCGGCATTTTCTAATTACACCAATTGAATGCATCGAGGCATCAAATGATTCTTGAGTATATGTATCCCTAGTGTCTAAATTCTCAGTACTGTAATCAGCATCCATGAGATCAATATTATCATGAAGAAAAAGGTCGCTTCCTGACTGACCAATCCTAACATCATAACCACTGCATCTTGAGTAGTATGCTGAGTCACAGTTATCATTTTTTATTAGAGAACAGCTGCTAGCACCTGATTTGCTGAGCTTTTTCAGGAAAGGTGATGAAAATTCAACTTCGTGGTCATTTATCATGACACCATGAAAATCAAGGGCATTGGTAGTCTTAACTGCTTCCCTACTCAAATTTCCAACTCTTTCCGGACACTTGTTTTTCCATTTTGAGCCTAAAATATTGTGCTTTTTGCCAAATTGAGGTACAAGATCCAGAATAACATGATTTTGCGGCAGAAAATAATCACCAGCATTCTCATAATGATCAATGTCTAAACAACTCATGTGATCAGGACTGGACTCAAGCAAATGCCCTGCATCATTTGCAGAACAACGGAGAGAATTATATTCCCCAAAATAATAATCATCAGCATTATCATAATGATCAATGTCTAAACAACTCATGTTATCAGGACTGGACCCAAGCAAATGCACTGTATCATTTGCAGAACAACGGAGAAAATTATATTCCCCGAAATAATCAGTGTCAGTTTGGCATGGTTCAAGATTCATAAAAAATCCATGCAAATCTCTCTTTGATCTTCCTTGATCTTGAGCAGCATCAGTATCCTCTGATGCCAAATCTAGCGGAGTGGTCATCGGTATATGAAGAGAGTTCCGGTGTAACTGATTATTGCTGCTTCTCTTTGTAATATTAGAGCTCTTTACAAGATCTCTTGTGGAAGTTTCTGTGAGAAGTAATTCATAAAGAACCTAGTTAAAAAAATATACTCCAACATCAGCTATATAAATTTCTACATTTCATCCACAAGAGAGTTTTGTACAAGAATATAAGGCAAGAAAGAAAAGCAAGACAGTCAAAAAATAAAGGTTTACTGTTGAAATCACATCATCAAGATCCTTCAAAGAACAAAAACTTATTATGATGTAACACCAATACCTTCCTTCTGTGCTTCACTTTTCCTAAGTGCACCAATTTTCTGGGAACTTCCTACAGATAAACACAACATAATACAGCTTTAGGCTGCAAAAGAAGTAACAAGCATACTATCTTCTTCAACCTTATGAACTATTATGACTGAGAGTTTGACCTTGCAACGATGGTGCCAGATGTTGCTGCCAAGATTGCCTGACAGCTCGTTCAAAGAAAGTTAAGACAGTATCCCAGTCCTAAAAAGAAAGAGCAAGACCTAAATGTGTGCTCCATAAATAAGGCACAAAGTACATGATACGGTAGTCTAAAATGAGCAAAATATTGAAAAGAAGTCCGAGATAAACAGAATTAGCAATGTCTACAATTAAGCAGCTCATACAAAGTTAAATATTTCTTTAGCCCAAAAAAATGGTCATAAGAGAGTTGAGGGATTTCTGTTCCACGATAAAACCTTTCTGAAGGATGAACTGACATTCTCAGGTTATCCAAGAAGAAGAATTTGACTTTTATTATTTTTCCCGATGTGATGATAAAGAAAAGATAATAAAAATTTGTTTTCCTATTTGAAGTTTTTTTTATTATACTACATTCTCAAAGACAACCTGAAATATCACCTTGCACCATTAGTGGATAACTTCAACATGGAAAAAGTGAAGACATACAATTACAGGCATTCTTCCCCATGAATCTCAAATGAAAAAAGAAATTAAGTGCTTTAATGCAATATTCTGTCTTGGTTGATAAAACAAAATAAACCTTCTTATAGTCACAGACAGTACTTAAAAAAGTACAAAACATTGCAAGTTGTTTGCTCCATATATGTGCAAACCTATCTGCCAGATGTGCCAAAGTTGCAGGGTGAGATACCTTGTCCAATTGAACTATTCAACATTAAAACAAGATTTTAGCAGCTCTATAGCCTAAAAATTTTTATACTGGCCAGTACAACCAACCTACGCAATTCAGGCAATCCAGTCCGGTCTAATAAAAAAATTTAAAAAAATTGAAATGTATACCGGTCTAGCCATGAACTGCCGACATTTTGGCCAGTCCAGTCCGGTCTAATTAAGAAAAAAGAAAAGATTCCATGGACCCTCGCTGTCGTCATTCGCTGCAAAATCTCCCCTCTTCTTGCCGTCATCCACTGCTGGCACTACCTAAGTCCCTCTTCTCACTGCCTCTCACTACCTTCTACCGCTGCCTACCTCCCCTCTTCTCACTGCATCCAACTGATCTCACTTCCCTCTCACAACCTCAAATATGCTTCTTCCTCTTCTCCTCCTCCTCTTCCTCTTCCTCTTCCTCTTCTTCCTTCCTCTTCCTCCACCATCTCCTCTTCTTCCTTTCTCTTCCTCCACCATCTCCTCCTCTTCCTTCCTCTTCCTCTTCCTCCACTGCCTCCTCTTCTTCCTTCCTCCTCTACCTCCACCACACCCTCAACTTCCTTTTCCTCTTCCTTCTTCCTTCCTCCTCCTCTTCCTCCATTGACATATGTTCCTTTCTCTTCTCCTTCCTTCTCTTTGAGCATTCAGTACATACCAGTATATGAGTGTTGATACACTGGTAGCGGTCAGTATGTATCAGACTAATCAGGGATCGGTACAGTACTCCTATGTGACATTGCAGTCTTTAAACCATACAACATGAAATCTTCTTAAAACCCTATGGGTTAAGTCCTCAGCCTTCAGACATGAACTTAAAGACTGAAAATTCAGCACTCTTCTTAAAGCTTTAGTGGCAAAGCAGAGGGCACATGAACGAGCAAGTGTGCTCAGTGGCAGAACGACCAACAAATTTGAACTGAAGAATGCAGAGAAGATGGGGTATATTTGGAGAAGCGTTCTTTTAATTTCTAGATTGGAGGATACTAGAGGAAAGTTGCTCTAACGAGATAAGTTTCTAGAGGGAAAGTCCCTAATTTTTTATGAATACTTCCAAGGCATCAGACAACAGATGATGAGGGGAAGACCTTAAGATGCAAGAACTCTTAACTGCACCATTATTCACCAAAGAACATGGGATGCAATGGTAAAAGCTCAACCAATTCAAAAGGTTGCATCCGACCAGCATTAAAGTCATTAAACGGACCTCACGTGGAATATCGCATCGGAGATGCACTACGTGAGCCAAGTGAAGGGGCAAACGAAACGGAGGCCAAAAACAAAGACCAGCTCAACAAGCTCAAAGAGGGCTCAAATCGAGAAAGTGATCACAGATCATCACATGGATCTCACATGGAACAATGCATAGGATGCATGGCAAGGTCAAGACGAAGAAAATACCAAAGGAAATGCCAAAGACAAAGGCACGAATCAACAAAGATGAAGGCACATATTGAACTAATGCATATGCACATCAAACTCAACGGAGAATTGACCCATGCAACAGTTGAATGCCAAGGCCACCATTATCTCGACACAAATCAAGAGAAGCAACTTGGATTGGAGTCAGTAAAGAGCCTGAGCCACATGGAGTTGACTTGAACCGAAACATAGCACAAGAGCACCAACTTCATGGCGCATTCCTTGGATGGAGATCAAGGGAACACTCGCATAAGCAAGAGAGGAAATAACACCTTAGTTCCCTCATTCAAATGAGTGATGATTCATGATTTGACGCGAATGGTAACATGATTAAAAATAACCTCGAGGGACAGGCACGCACCTAAACTGGACAATGCCATTATACAGGAACCAAGGTGAGCAAGCCTGACTCAAATTGCAGGGGCAAAGTTGGAGACATTGTGGGGCAAGAGTCAGCAAAGGTGAATTCCAATAAGGGTTGGTCCATATATGATTCAACCTCAGACTGAAAAATTCCAATCACTATGAATCCATACCAAAGGTATTTTAAACCTCGATACAAAAGACAATGATGCCTACTTTATGCCAACCATAAGATGATAATTCTGCTAATGGTTTTAGTATATTATAGTTGCTTGGATAAAATTTGATACATGAAGAGTTGATCATGTAATAAACAGCCAGAGTAAAGCCAAAAACCCATAAAGCCAAAGATCCATTAGATACAATGTAAATTTTGATCATAGAATCTAGAGATGAACAAGGAACTAAGAAATTTTTAAATATACTACACGATAAATTTGAACATTTATATGCTCAAACCACAAGAAAATAAAAGCATAAGTGCATAACTATACAAAGAGCTAACACCTTGAATTCAATAATTGTCTTAGAAGGCTCGAAATGCAGGTCATAAAGAGAAGTAGGGCAGTGTAGGTTAAGTATAAATGCTGGATTAGCTTGAATTTTGTGTCTCTTTCCACCTTGGATCTCGGGGTCAACTGCATGGAGAGCCAAAGAACACAGAACACTTGATGCCAGATTATTAAGCAAATTATGAATTGGACCCTTGCTGATAAACCTCAAGTTAACATCTGAAGGGAATTAAGGCGACAACACCAAGGCATGAAGAGATTAACAGAACCAAAGTTAAAAAAGGATACAGAGATATTGGAGAGCCTGCATAATAGAGAATTGTTTTGTTAGGCACACATACAAATAAGTTGCATGTTTACAGTTTTGTGTTTTCTTGCACTAAATATGCACCTTTGTAGGGCAAACATCACCTGGTCCAGAAATGTATCCAGAAAGCATCAGCATGTCATCAGAGAAAACTATTTCGTGAAGAGAATCAGAAAACTCATTACTAAACATATTAGAAACAAAAGGCAAAGGAGATGAAGACGGTGTTGTGCAGATCAGCTCCTCCTCACTGCTTTCAAAGGTAGAATGTTGTCAATAACTAGTTAGAAGAGTCTAAATGATGTAAAGAGCTCAAAGAACTCACCTATCAATATCAACTAGTTTGAATGAAACTTGTGAGTGAACTAAAGCAGCTCGCAAAACAACTTTTTTCACACAATAAAGCACTTTTTTGGAGCTTTATAAACAAATCAAAAAAAAAAATTTATGTTAGTGTAAACACCATGAACTTGCAAAATGATAAGCACTTAATTTAAGTAACAAAGAGTGTAAATAAAGGGAAAAACCTAGACTGCATGTATCTCCTCCTGACAGGTTGATTGTAAAATAAATCTCGAACAATAACTGCAAGATATGAACCTTAATTCCATGAAATCATTGTCCAGATAACAAATATATATAAGTACTCTGTTTCATGCTAAGTCATAATGCACCATGAGGCATATAACTCATATATGAAATATTAATTCATATAAACAGTAAAGCAGCTTATACAAATTAATTACTTATATCTGTTTGATTAAAAAGGAAATATAAAGAAAGCAACTAAGGAGCTACCCCTAGCCTTTCAGGACCAAACAAGGGTGGTTATAAGTTCAGGTCAGTTCTCAACCCTTTCCAACCTGAAACTGTACTGCACAATATGAACTTTAGAACTTCAATGAATTCTTCTGCTCTAGAACTGATCTCCAAAGATTATCCAAGAAAGTAAACTATTTTACAATTTAGTTTAATCTAATAAATAAAATAACTTATTGCATCTACAGGGTTATATATAATTTTAAACACTGTAGATATGACAATCAACCTTAACTATCTAATTTGTTAAACTGACATTATCAAAGATTTCTTGATGGTCTCTTGTGAATCCTTATAAGTGAAAGGTTCAGCTACCTGGTTGAACATTTTTTGCATGTTCAGTCATAGCCAAACTAAGGAACATGAATATGAAGTTGCTATCTATTAGCTTAATGTCACATTAATAGAAAGGTTTTTAATCTCGTACCATACCGGTGTATCGAGCTTTGTTCGATATAGTATGGTACAACGTACCAAGTGGTACACCAAGGCATACCGAGTGGTATGCCTAAAAAAAAACATAAAACCCTTCAAAAATATCTAAAAAGTAAAAATAGAAATTGATCCCATGACCCAAAACCGACATCATTACCAAAAGAAACCCCAACCCTATCTTTAACCTCTTACTATTCATCTCAGTAAAAATGAGCGACAACGAACAGCCATCCTCAGTCACCGGAACGGGGCGGTTTACAAAGGCAGCACCGAGTCGAGTTCCATCATCCGATGGTGATGTTACGACGAGGGTTGCAACGAGACCAGAAGCAGAGGAGTCGAGGTCAGAGGAAGGCAGCTTCTTCTTCTGCGAGGGCTTTTTCAAGCGGCCACAGTTCTTGACGACGAGGTTGACAAGGGAGGTCAGGAAGCCGGTCCGGATGACGAGCGAGCCACCTTGCTTGGGAGGCCAGAGTTCAGCAAGGAGCCGGGACACTCCACCGCCCCTGCTGCCGCCACCGCTCGCTCGGAACTTCTTCCACGGGTTCGGCATTGAGCCAATCGACGATCATGGAGGGGGCAAAGACTCGGCGATCTAATCTGCAATAAAGGATCACATGCTTTATTGAACTTGTTACCGCCCGATATCAACCAATACAGGTCGATAACAGTCGAAATTTCGACCATTACCGCCTGATACAACCCTGTATCGCCCGATACGAGGCCAAAAGGCTGATACCACCCGATAACGAGCGGTCCGCGTGCCGATCTACTAGCGGACTGGTATATACCGCTCGTACCGAGAGGTATGGTACGGTTTTGCAAACCTTTATAGAACCTAATGCAAGATAGGAAGAAGTGAACTTGTAACATTTGAACTGATCACTTACTAGACGATGAGTTTTGAGCTGAAATAGACAATTTTGACACCAATATTAATGCATTCAACTTAAGGTCTCTATTTAATTTATAAGACTTGAATGTATATTTTCCACAAGTTCTCCATCTTCCTAGGTCATTCCCTCCCCTCTGTAGCAGATCTTAGTTGAAACTGACAGCCACTTGAAGGTGCCATTCTCTGGAGATCTTTTTAGAACCACTTTAAGTGATGTTCCTTTCATCTAATTTTCAGGTGGTGTCATATCCAACTCAGAACCTCAAATGAAACAATCTCTTCCTTTATTGAACACTGAACAAGTTAACATAATCACAAGGCTTAGAATAGTTAAACTGACACCAGAAAATTGCAACTTTTGGACAAAGTAGAATAGAAAACTCCGGAAGTTGCTCTTACCAATAACTATAGATAAAGAAATTGTGAAAACTGAAAACAATCAGAACTTTGGTTGCACTGAATTAAATTTGTGGATTGTGCACCACTCATGCACCAAGTTCATTTTTCCATCACTTCACAATGCACAAATGAGCATGAAACCTTGTGATTCTTTATATGTATGTACTTAAAGAGGGGTCTAGAAAAAAATCACTGGGTTGGCTGAATTGGATCATTACTTCCAACTGATTGATGGGGCCTTGGTGCACCCAAGTTTAACATATCCAAATGTCCTATCATTTTGAACATAGCATCTAGCAATGCAGAACAAGCCACACACGAGGAAATCACCTTCACTAACTGATCATCACTAGAATTTCTTCTGGTGTTCAGGCAGTTGTGAAAATAGTATGTTAGTAGTTCAGAACCATGAGAACATCATTCAGTGTCATGTGAGAAGCAAAAGAAACTGAAACAGCATATTAGACATTCACAAGTAAGCAGAACAATTGGAAAAATTTATTCAAGACTTAAGTATAAAACAATTGGTGGTCCATTAATATCTACAAGAAAGAAAACCAAAGCGAGCAAATATTTTCTTGGAATATCTCCAAAATGAAATCGAATTACTTCAGAGATAACAGAAAACTTCTGAGGTAATATGCCAGGAGTAACAACCTTGCAATCTGAAGTACAAAAGCTGTCAACTTAGCCAAAGTGGAAAACAAACAAACCACCACCAAGGTGTCTTAAGAGAATACAAACAAAATTCAAATGCGAAAAAACAAACTTGCATCAGATAAAAAAAAAAAACATGAAAGGACAAAGGTTGCCAATGAAGAAAATTTTGAATAAATTTCTAAAATCAAATAACCATTCTAAAGGGCTTACCACCGTCAAGGATCAATGTACACAACCTTACCCCTATAAGTAGCAAGACTATTTCCATGATTTAGACCATGCCAACCAAGTCGTAAAGGAACAAATGCCAGCAACAGAGTGATTATGTTGAACTATTTGTTTTCTAAGACTGTAGAGAGATTATTTCCATGATTTAGTTTAGACCATGTCAACCAAATCATAAAAGAGCAAATGCCAGACATACAGTGATTATGTTAAATATTTGTTTTCTAAAGACCGTAGAGAGACTATTTCCAAGATTTAGACCATGATAAACCAAGTCGTAAAGGAGCAAATGCCAGCCATACAGTGATTATGCTGAATTATTTGTTTTCTGAAGACTGAAAATATAATCATTAAGTCATATTTAAGTACTTGAAGAATTGAATCAAAGAACAATTTATGCGACAAGATGGAAACTAAGCTTCAAACTCTGAAAGACTGAAACAAAAGGAAAAATTACAATAGAGTACAAGAAATGTTCTTAAACAAATGAAGGATTCTCAAGAAGTAAGCATATTAAGTATTTGAAATGGTATCAGATTTTCAATTAAAGAAAGACAGAAAATAAAAAGTAGAAAACTTAAGCAATTAAAAGATTCTCAAGGAGCAAGCATTACAGCATCTAACGTTTGATATGAGTTTAAGTCAAGCAGACAGGCCAGAACCTCACCAGTTTGCCTCATGACATCTAGCAGGATGATAATGCTATTCTCAAAGGGCAAGAGAAAAAAAAAACAAAAAGATATAAGTAGATTACCAGTGGTACCCACACCTTCCCTCTGATCATCAATGCCAAGAAATAAGCACTTTGATCCCTGGATATTTTCGAAAAAGATTAGCCTCAAGCAATTAAGTTAAACATTACTTAATCCAAAAACCAAAGAAAACCAATGCCTTTATAATCTTGCAATATGCATTTGGCTTCCCTCGGGCTTTCGTTCTAACTTCAACTATAGAAATATTAGAAAGTGAAAGCAATGCCTCTCCTCTAAAACCCAAGCCATGAGTGCTAGATCTTCCATCATCCACAAGACCAGACTTCGATGTTGCTGTTTATACATCACAGTACTTCAATGATACCTCAATAGTCAAAACTTCTTAAGATTGGCAAACTGTAGCATGTTAACATTTCTATTTCTATTCAAGGTAAAAAAAAGGAGAGAAGAAGAATTGAGCCAGCCATTTACAGTCTAAGAATGAATATGATAAGTTGATAACAATGCATGTCAAACAAAAAATTGGTTTAGTACTGCTCAAGCATAACATCCAACTGATGATCTGAACGTCAATTAAATCTAGCATTGTAACAACAAAGAAAGTTAATAAAAATATGCATATCTACTTAACGTAGTATTGTAATAATGTAATGTAGGCCACTGTAAGGGAGAATATTCACTCTTAAAATTGTCACGATAGATCCTTTGCCTTATATACACCATTCAGATTCTTCATTTTGGGGCAAGGAGAGTAAAGCAAGAAAAAGGCTTCAACTAAGCCAAAGTCAGTTATGTGACAGGACTCATTTCAAGTGGCTGCATATAGTGGAAGATTACAGTTCAAGCATTGCCATGATACCATCAATGTCAATAAATGAAATGATAACAAAGATGCACTACAAACACTGAAGCTGGTTAATGTGTTCAATAAGAAAAACACAGAAAATATAAAGAAATTCAAAATTACCAACCTTCTTTAATATCAAAAGAATCAACAAGAACCATAAGAGGCATGGCATGAAGTTTAAGAAAAAAGTGATCCATTTGATCAATACAAATATGTTTCAGAGTTAAATGAAGTTTCAATGGTTTCTGAAGCTATAGTAGTTCTGGCCCAAGTTTGCACTTTCATTGATTTACACTGAAACTAACTATTTCAAGGATAAAATCATTAGACTAAGTTTTAAATCACATTATAGACTAGGTATTTCCCATTTAAGTTTGTTTGAAGAAAGAATTTGAGCAAATTAAAATATTTTAGGCTAAAGTTCTAAATACCGTACCGTACCAGTATACCGATCAACTGTCGGTACGATAGGTACTGAACTGTACCGAGCATACCGATATATGGTACACTAAGGTATATTGATGTATCGCCCATACCAATCCTCTATCGGACCGATATGTACTGCCCGTACCGAACGGTATGGTACGATATTGCAAACCATGATTTTAGCACTTTCATCTTTAAAGCAAGGGCTGCCATACCGAATCATACCGCCCGATACCGACGGTACATACTGGTCCGACAGGCTACCGGTACGCGGACCGCCGGCTACCGGGCGATACGCCCAAAAAAACCCCGTATCGGACGATACGGGGTAAAATCGAGCGATAACGGTCGAAATTTCGACCGTTACCGCCCCGCACCACTCGGTACCGCCCGGTACCACTCGGTAGTAGTGCTACAGTGCTCCAACGGTCAATTTGACCGTTGGAGCCCTTTCTCCTCTTATTTAAACCATTCTTCTCTCCCCTATTTCTTAAACTCTCTCTCAAACTTTTTTTTTCTCTCCTAAACTCTATAAAACAACGATTTGTGAATTCAATCGAGGCTAATTTGGGAAGATTAAGAGGAAGAACTTTCTAATCAAGAGGTATATATTCATTTTCTTTAATTAGAGAGTAATTAAGATATTTAAGATTATGATTAGTATGTTTCATGCATAGTAAATATTGAATAATATTTATGATAGTAAAATAAGTTTTATTAAGTTTTATTAAAGTTATTTAATGCTGTGATTAGTCATTTTAATGATGATTTAATCGAAATTTATTCGATTTTATATCAATTCAATGTCTTTAATACCTATTAGGGTATTTGTCATGTTTACAGTGGTGAAAGAGAAGTAATTAGTAAAAAATTAACTATATTAATCGTATAATTAATGTAGATAAATGATGATTTTATCATAATTTGAATCATATTGGATTAAAATTACATATTTAATATTTTTTTTATGTGTTTAACATATATATACGATGATAAAATAAGTTTAATTATGTTTTATGAAAGTTATTTAATACTGTGATTAGTCATTTTAATGATAATTTAATCAAAATTTGTTTGATTTTATGTCAATCCAATATCTTTAATACCTATTCGGGTGTTTGTCATGTTTATAGTGCTGAAAAAGAAGTAATTAGTAAAAAATTAACTATGTTAATCGCGTAATTAGTGTATCTAATGATTTTAATACTTCTTTTACGCATGTAACGTATTTATGATGATAAAATATAATTAGTTATGTTTTAATAAAATTACTTAATATTACGATTAGTGATTTATGATCGATATTTGGTCAATTTAATATCTTTATACTTTATAGTTTATTTGATTTAAATTTGGTAGGATCATGACACCAAAGAAACAGCCACATGATGATGCATGGGTTCATGCCCGAAAGCTAGATGGAAACCGTCATCATTGGCAATGTATTTATTGTGACTACATTGGCAAAGGTGAAGGAATAACTCGAGTGAAAATACATTTGGCTGGTGGGTATCCTGATGTTGTAAAATGCAAGAATGTTCCAACGGAGATCTGTAAATTATTTCAAAGCAAGCTTAAACAAGCAAAGGAAAATACATTAAAAAAGAAGGCAAAGTTGAGGAAGAATATTATAGGACTACACAGGAACCAGTTTATGATCGGTATGAGGGTTGCGGCGATGAAGTCGACCCAGATCTCACAGCTGGGATTTGTGCATCATTGGAGCATCAGTATACGGTCGATGAAGCAATGAGGCATCGACAACCTGACTCACAATTAGAGCATGGCAGTGGTAGTGGAATCTATAGGTCAACCAGCATGAGGCAACCAACTGCTCCTCAGTTAGGCCGAACTAGTAGCATGAGGTATGGTGGACTCCATGGTTTTACGAGATGTCTTGGCAGGAGGTCCGCACCAGATATTGTTGATATTGATCCGCAAGCCTATCCCCCACAAACAGCGAAACAGACACGGATTGACGATACACACACAAAAAAAAAGGGATATTCAGAAGGCAATCTCAAAATGGTTCAACTTTCATAGGATTCCAGCCAACACAGCCCAAGGTCCATATTATCAGAGCATGGTCTCTTCTATTCAAAAGTCTGGCACGGGGATCCAACCTCCAACACTGAAGGAGATTTACAACGTGTACTTAGATGAGGAGGTGGCAGAAGTAAAGGATTGGATCAAATCCTTCAAGAGGCAATGGGACGAATATGGAGTGACATTGATGTGTGACAGTTGGACATGACCAACAAGAATGAGTATCATCAACTTTCTTTTTTATTACAATAGAAGAGTGGTGTTTCATAAGTCCGTTAATGCTTCTGAAAAGATCCAAAACGCAAACTACATTGAGAGCTTGATATACACTATTATAGAGGAGATTGGACCACAGTATGTTGTCCAAATAATAACTAACAATGGAGCGAATTTCAAAAAGGCCGGTTTGCAATTGATGGAAAAAAGAAAAACTTTGTTTTGGACTTTATGTGCAGCTCATTGTATAGATCTAATGCTGAAGGATATTGGTGAGTTGGATACAGTCAAGAAATGTGTAGCTCAAGCACAATCAATTACAAAGTTTATATATAATCATCATTGGGTCCACGCATTAATGCAAAAGTATGTAAATGGTGAGATACTTCGACTTGGAATTACTCGGTTTGCTACCAATTTTATTACATTAAAGTCATTACAGCAAAAATGGCATGGCTTGAAGGTAATGGCTAGCTCACAAGAGTGGTCTGAATCCAGATATTCGAAATTGAGCGATGGAAAGAAGATAGAAAAGGTCATTCTTTCCTCTAGATTTTGGGAGACTATAGCAGAAATCATAAAAGGTGTGGAACCACTTTATATTGTCCTCCGTAAGGTCGATATGGACAAGCGTCCACAGATGCTGTATCTTAAATATATGCTGATTTCAGCAAGAGAGGAGGTCAGGAAAGCATTCAAAGATGATTTTAAGGCCGACCAATACGTACGAATCATTGATCGTCGGATCGAAGTTCATATAGATCAAGATATCCATAATGCAGGTAAATTCATATTCAGAATAATTTAATTTATTATTATTTAGATAATAAAAAATCATACTAACAAAATTATGTTTTGCAACGTATTATCTAAACCCGGCAATTCAATATCAATATGCTCTCGGAACGTAAAATAATTTCCTAACGACACTACGAAATGTTATATATCAGCTCTTGCCAAACACTACCGAGGCAGCCGATGCTCTTATGGAGGATCGATTATTTCAAGAAACAGTTTGTTCATTCTCCGACGTTGTAGCTGTATTGTGTCGTTACACTATGGATCCTAGTGAGGAAAAGTTATGCATATTGATTATCAATTATATTTAAAGTTAATTATTTGTTATGCTAATGAAATCTTATTTATATCTTTTTGCAGTCGAGCGGTGACTACAATTTGGAGGCGATGCACCACATTTAAGAAAAGTTGTCATTCGTGTACTTTCACAGACAACAACATCTAGTGGTTGTAAACGTAATTAGTCAACGTTTGCATTGATTAATACGAAGGTCCGCAACAGACTCTCCTACAGACGATTAGAGAAGCTAGTATATGTCCATTATAACATGCGGCTAAAATTGCGATGTGCTGAGTTGGATAAGGAGCCAGAGGAATCATTTATTGATCCCATTGACCTCCAATTCTACAACGAAGGTTCAGAGCCAATGTTAGATTGGGTTGAAG